ATGACTGTGATTAACTACAATTAGACGATAAGGTTGGGCTTGAATTTAAATCAATTGAGAAAGTGCATTTGCTTTTTATATTCAATTACAATTTTATATTACTTATATAATTCAGGGAGTTATTCAGATCTTAAAGAAAAATTATTTTTATATTTAATTCTGTAATTTGATATATGTTATCTTTTAAATTATTTAATCATATTTTAATATTGATTTAAAAAAAATACTATATTCTTAAAAATTTTATTTTTAATAAATGATTTTAACAAAAATATTACAAAATTTCAACCACCAATTGTACATATATTGTTAATGTTACTGACAGCTATTGAAGTTGATATATGTAATGATAAATTTAGAATGGATTAGCTGAATTGTACAAATTGGTTACGAGAATGTGTTATACTTATAGGAAACAGAGAATTTCAGAGTTAACTTATTTTGAAAATAGGTGAGAGTTTGAAAAGTCTTATTTTTATTTTGAAATCTCAAATTAGAAAATAAAGTAGGTGTTATCCGGAGATAAAATAAGCAAACTTTTTTTGATGATGTATATTATATCTTATTATATAAATAAACCTACAAAATACAAATAAATAGGATTTATTAATCGCTGATTATATAATAAATACATTGCTAATTTAATTCGAAACCTGAATTTGGCAAACGCACAACGTGTCGTAATGTTCTATATATTGAGGGATTTCAAAGTTAATGAAGTTCAGAAATAAGAGTCTAAACCAAAGAAATGATCAAATAAGAAAATAAATAAAATGTGAGTGTCTAGAAACTTTCATTTTAGACTTTAAAAAATCAGAAATTCGTGGCTCAGTATAAATTATTAGGGATAAAATTAATCTTCAATTTTAGCCAATCAGAATTCATGTTAAAGTTTTTTGAGAAATTTCTGAAATCAAACCGATTGTCACTTCGATACCATAATAGGTGCGATCTTCATTATCTATATTTGGTAATGTGCCTGACTAAAATTATATAACTCTATCATTATTACTAATATTGCTATATCTTAAAAATATATTCAAAACCTCCCAAAATCTATAAAAACTAAAATTAGGATCTTATATTAGTCTTATATTATATAATACTATATAATAACTCTAACTCTAACAAATCTTAGAACTGGTAATATCTAATAATTTTTTTTATAAATTTCTTTTTTTTAACTTTAACACCTTTTCAGTTCTATTTGTCAATCATTTTTGTATTGAGAGAATTATAATATATGCTTTTAAAGATTATCTCTTTCATTTCAACTTATTTTTACAAACCTTCTTACAACTTGCCCAGAGGCAATGTCAAATAACAGGCCTTGTAGTAGTACAAATTTTACTTTTTTTATTTATTTAAATTACTCTAAATTTCACTTTAAACTATATTGTTCTTTTTTTTCATACTTCATAGTCTTTTTCAAAACTTTTTCTGCTTTAAGATCAGAACCCACCAGAGTTAAATTGTTCATCTATTTTTTTATTTTTAGCACTAGTTATAAACCCGTACAATAATGCACAGGAATAAAATATATTAAAATTTAAATATAATAATATAAAAATTAAATTAAAATTAATTTATTTGTAACTATAGCTACTACTAGTTTGGTCTGACTCTATGAGTCAAGTTTTAATTTAGACTTAGTTCTAAGTCAGACTTGAAACCAAGTTCCAATAATCTCATAGTAGTCATATACAACATTAGATATTATAAAACTATTATTAAACCATCTACCAAAAATTTTTTGTCAAATGCAGTATAATATCTAATATTGTAAAACTTGGTTCTGAGTCTAACTTGGAACCAAGTTTAGATTAAAACTTAACTTATAAAGTTAAACTGGACCAGACCAGACTTTTAACATCTTTATATATAGCTATATATATTATTAACTATAATTTTTTTATATAGCTATATTAATATTATAGTTAAAATTAAAATTAAAATTAGAGTTAAAATTAAATTTAGAGTTAAAGTAGAGTAAAATTGTAGTTTTATTTAGTTATATAACAGAAATTACTTTAGTAAAATTAAAACATTATATCTAATTAATATTATATTATACAGTATAAACCACTTTATATATCTTAAAGCTACACTTTATATCTATCCCTATAAGAATTAGGAATACATATCACTATGATGATAATGAGTGAAACGATTTACAGATTTTCATATCCCGTTACTCATATACAGTATCTAAAGATGGTAATGATTACTATAAATTATTTTGATTATATTTTTTAAATATTATTAACTATTATAAATAATTTAAATTAATATACTGTATAGCTTACTATATACAGTATATTTATAAATTAAATTAATAAATAATTTTATTTTAAACAAAAAAAACTAATTTTATAAATATTTATTTATTTATTTTTATCTTTTTTTTTTATTGCGATTTTTTAGATATTTTGCTTTTTGGTTAGTTATTTTTATTGTTTGTATTTATTTTTTAAATTTATTTTTTTATTTTAACATTTTAATATAATTGTTTTTGATTTTTTAATTTCTTTTTTGGTTTCATTTTTGTTATTTATTTTTTTCAGTTTTGTTTAACTTTTTTTTTCATTTATTTTTTTATTTTTATTTTACTTTTTATTTAATTTATTTATTTATTTTATTTTATTTTTTTTTTGATGATGTTTTTTAACTTTATTTTTAATATTTTTTTTATTTCTATTATTTTGTTTTATACAACTTTATTTTTTATTATTTCATTTTTGTTTTTTTATTTAATTTAATTTATTTATTTTTTTTCTATTTTATATATATATACTTTCATTCTTTTTATTTATTTAAATTATTATTATTATTATTATTATTATTATTTTTTAATTCTTTGACAGTCTTGCCAGTGCTCAATTTATTTAAAACTATATTTAGGTGAGAGTTAAACTCTCTTGAACAATACATATCATTCATAACCATAAAAGGCGTCTAGCGATTGCAAACCTGACATTACCTGGCTGCGATTAACGTGCCCAAATGCAACTTGTTGCACCAACCTGTATACAAGTTAGATAAACTTTGTCAGCCCATCAAAGCTTTTCCATTCATATTCTTTTTCTTTATCGAGAGCAAAGAAAGTGATAATCTTATATCAAATACAAAACCACTGATAATATCAAGAAAACAAAACGAAAAACTAACTAAAAAAAAACAAATAGAACAAAGGAGAAATTTTAAAGGAAAATAAAAGAGGTACAATGAAATATAAAAAAGGAAAATCAAAGAGAAAAGCCCGAGGGCCAACAAAGAAGAAACTACCTCTATCAAGAAATAGTACAAATAGAATGAAAGAAAAAGAAAAATACACTATTATAACCCATACCAGGTTCAAAAAAATTTTATAACAACTGCAACGTTTGTATATCTCAACTACAAAATCTAACAAATTATTATCCAACTACCGACCACCTCTAGATGCCTCTTATGCCAGAGACCTGATTCCAGTCACATGGAGGTTCTGTATCTATAGACTATGTTGCGTTATATATCCACCGATAAACAAGACATGTGGTTGCATTCCTGAGTACATCCGAATTTGGAAGGTAAACAATGCCAATCTTTTGGAGAGGGTAAGCCAAATTGCTTGCTTTTTGTCAAAAATTTTGAAGAAACTGACAGGACCAAGAGAAACTTAAAGAAAAGACTACTAGCACCTAAAGAGAGTATTTTATTCTTGAAAGAAATGATGACTAGTAACCCTTTTTCTAGAAAAGGAGAGGAGCTACTATACTTCAATGGTAAGTGATAAACTCTGAACTTGTTGGCAAGTAGCATATGAGAACTACTTCTAAATGACAAGTGCTGTGCTAGCGGTGAGTGATAAACTCTAAAGAAGTTAGCAGGTAGTGTATGAGAACTACCTCTAAATAACAACTGCCGATTTATGAATTCTAGTTTTATACCTCTTATTACTTACTAGTTACTGTTTTTACAAAAATTGTTTAGGAAATTTTGGTTTTAGTGATCGTTGAAAAGAGTTGTAAAGTATAATTATTTTTTTTTTGTTTTATATATATTTATTTAACTTACTGTATTTTTTCATTTCTATATATTTATTGTTTATATTTTTTATTGATTTTTTATTTTTTTCGTTATTTATTTTTCTTTACATATTAGGTAATTTTTAATTTAGATATTTTTTATTTTTTAACTAATGGTTATTTTAATAATAAACATTATTATTATAAAGAAACTTATAAGACTTGATATGTAGTTATAATATTTTCTTGAATTTTATATTTATTAATTTACTAATACACCAAGTATATTATATATATTTTGAGTAATTGGGTATAGGCAAACATTTACTGGAAAAGCATAACTGATATATTGGCTACTTACGTAGCCAATACATTAGTTATGCTTTTTCAGTAAATACTTAAATACCCAGCATATATCAGAGTTGTTGCTTGCAATTCATGTAACGTATAATCAAAATTAAAGGTAAGATATTGAAAAGTATGTTTCACAAGGCTGAAATGAGATTGAATTAGACTAGATTACTTAGTATAGTTCTGAAGATACCTACTAGTGGTGGATTTTAAAAGGAAATAGTGAATAAAATAAACCACGATCAGTGTTGTCAACTAGACCAAGGTGGACTTAATAATTTTATAAGTCCAATATGGTTTAACTTCTGGCCGTTTGACATGGTAGAGCGATAATACTGACCATGGCCTTTGTTCCATCATTAAAAAGAGTAGATTTTCAGTAATATGTCAAAAATTAGAAAATTTTTTTTTTAATTCATTTATATATTTCAAATTTATTAATGGAAAAACAAAATAAAACAAAAATTCTAGTGAGAATAAAAAGAAGTTAGGAGACATTTCTGCTTCGTTAAATGGTTTGATAAAGTCTTCTTTAGTTTTCCTTTTTTTTTTTCTTTCTTTCTTTTTTTTTTTTTTAATATATTAGTGGAGTTTGAAATTTACCATTTTTGTCGAAAATATATATTATCAGACGAACATCGCATGCCACCAGCTGCGAAATTGGCTCGAAAACTTTATCAAGATCGTATTCATGAATTAAGATCTCAAGTTTCGTTAACCGAACAAAGACTTCGGTAAACAATCGCGTACATATTGATACAGGCATTCAATTTTTTTCACCATTTTTGCAATGACATATTTCCAGTGACACACTTTTTTTCTCAAATCTGCAAAGGAACATTTTCACCGAAATTGAAGATATTAAGTCCGGAAAATACGATGACAAATTAGTAGAAATATTGAAAGAAGATGAACAAAAAAATCAAGAATTTTCCAAAAAAGAACGATTTTCTGAACGGCAAGAGGAGGAAAACCCAGATACATTCGAAATTGTGGAAGAAACGGTACTTGCATCTTCAGCAAATATTCAAGATGTTCATGCGGGTAGATCATCAACACAACCTATTATTATTGATAATGATAATGATGACGCAATGATTATTGAAGTACCAGATGTATCAGAAGTGAATTCCGATAAACGAACCAAGAATACTAATGAAGAGAAAAAAATAGGAATGTCTTTTACTGAAAAAAAATCCGAAATAAATAATGAAAATGACAAATTGTCAAATGTGAATGATAGAGAAGATGTACAAGAATTAGAAAGTATGGAACAAACAAATTCAACAATTTTTGTTTCAACAGAGGAAACTGAAATTGAACAAAGAACAAAATTAACGACATCATTACAACCAACCGAATCTTTTGCAACGGTTAGAACTCCATCAACACCGTTTACTGAATTAAATGAATTTAAATATGAAGAAAAAATTGAACAATCATCAGAAGCTCAAATGAACAATGAAACTATGAATGAGGACATTCCAGATGATTTACTTAAGTCAACAGATGGAGATGTTGAAATGATGGAAATTGATAAAAATGAAAAGATTGAAGAACCAATACCTTCACAACTTCAATTATCTACAATAGATTTACCTAAGCATGAACAAATAAGAAGGCTTGCGAAAGAAAATGTTTCACCCATAGATTCCGAAGCTACACCTCGTGAAGATACAAATATGGAGGTAGATGAGACAACAGTTGAAACATTAAACTTTCAAGAATCTACAAAAAACCTACAGAATGACCGTTATGTATCATCTTCACCGGGACTGATTACCGAAGAAAAAGAATCTGAAAAAGGAGAAAATTTCGAAGCAACTGGAGCAGATGGAGGAGAATCAGAGGAAGTTATCGGATCTCCTGATGAACAAGATGAATCAGATAATGATAAAACTTCTATAGCGGAAATTGAGATGCAAGAAAATAGACCAAATCTAACATTGGATACTATTAAAAGTGAAGGATCTTCAGATACTACGGAACCTGCAGGATCTTTTTGCGAAGAAGAAACTGTTGAAAGTTCTAAGATGGAAATATCAGAAATTAAGCATGAAACTATTTATGATGATAACATGCAAATGGTAGATTCGCAATCATTAAATGAGGAAAATGAAGAAATGACGTCAACCACATCCCAAACTGAGTTTAAAGAGCAACTTTCACCATCAGCAACAACGTCTACTCACCACATGGATACAATTACAAATTCTAGCCCAGGCGATGGTAATTATTATTACATTTTTTCGAGAGAGAGAAAGATAATTTTTTTTAAAAAAATTTTTTTTACAAACAAGCAGTTCACGAAAGTGAGACTATCTCGGGAGCCGACGCATCTGGTATTATTTAATTTTATGTACCATATACTTTTTAAGTAGAAATTATTTTAACATTTTCATCATTTTCATCATTTCTATCAAATTACAGAAAATGACAAAAAGCAAAAGACCTGGTTAAAGCTAGCCATGATGATGTTACATGAAATTGGCAATCATAAATTTGCTAGTGTCTTCCAAAACCCAATAAAAGAGCAAGATGCACCGGGATATTATAGTATTGTCAAACAACCGATGGATTTGAAAACTTTGAAGAAACGTTTGCGCGACGGAGTATGTAAATTTCTTTGGTTTAGATTAAAATCAAATTAATACCTTGAATATAAATAATAAAAAGAAATATCATCATATTATTAATTTTTTTTTTTTTTTTTAATAAATATGTATAATTTCAGGTTATTCAAGACACAGATCAATTCCATCGAGATCTTATGTTAATGTTTATGAATGCATCAGTATTCAATCGAGAAGGGGATATTAATAAAATGGCATCACAAATGAAAGAACACGCCGAGAATCTAATTCAAGGATTTAGAAGTGAAGGTTCAGTCGGAATACATGAACCTGCAACACGAAGAAAGAGCATGGCTTTTGAAGGTACGTGGTATGTAATCGATTGTTTTTTTTTTATAATGAAATTATTCAATCATCATTAGAATTTTCTTTGATTTTAGCAAAAGAAGCGATCATAATTCCAAAGGATGACCGACGGAATTCTACAGACAAGTCTGGTACAGGTTCTTTACGCCACGGGACATCCCAATCGCCGGTTGAAACGTCAGAACAACGACCGAGTAAAAGAAAACGACGTTTAACGATATCACAGAAATAATTTTGAATATATATATATATTAAATATAAATTTATATAGTTCATTTATTTTTTTGATATTGAATAATCGTACGTACTAATTATAAAAATAAAATATTAAATAATCGTACGTACTAATTATAAAAATAAAATATTAAATGGGTGTTAAATTGACCTAATATATTTATATATGTATAATGATACGAATTATCCAAAGATAAAAAAGTAAAGACCCGTAAGGAAATGACCAAGTTAATCATGATTAATTATTGATAACGATAATCATTGATTAAAAATAATATATCTTGTATATGTATACATATTATAAATATATATATATATAAGACCTTCCAAATAATTCCTTGTTGAAAAATTTCCCAAGCAAAAAATTCCAAAGAAAAAAAAAGCCTTGGAAATACATTTCATTCTTTCGAACAATTATATGAAATTCCAGTGGTGCTAAAAATGCTAACGCTTAATTACAATAACTGTATGACATTATACCCTTATCGGTTACATTGATCTTAATATCGTATTTATCATATTGTTATGATAAATCTTAAATTATCCAACCTACAAATAAAATTTTGAGAATTATTCATTAAAGTCCAATTTTGTTAATTTTTGGTGATAATGTTCATTAATACATAATAACAGATAATAACGATAAATACGTACATACGTACGTACGCTAATTTTAATTTCTTGTAAGGAAATGAAAATCTATGAGTATTTGTGTACTACAAACAAATAAATTAGAAAGAGAATAATAAACCATTTTACGTACTAGTGAAATCAGATTCTTTTTAAATCGGATTCATCTGCTATTTCTTTGCTACCTAAAGAAGTTAAGAAAAATTTCATATCACTTAAATCACCTTTATTAATGATGATTGTCACCTATATGATTTTATCCCATCTATGACTCATTCTCGGCTTTTGTTTTCTTTGTCAAAGCGTGGGAAGTAACCCCAAAATAGTGATATGGGCGTTTTAAAAATTTTTAGATAATCGGGTAATCCTTATATCATGGAAAGTGACACGATAGAGTAACTAAAACAGAAATCACTATGTACGAGACAATGACTAAAAAAAGAGAATGGATACAAAAAGTAGGCGGGTGCATGCTTCAGTAACGTCATACGATTCTCTTATGATAAATTTTTTTTTTTTGATAATAATTTCATGTTCTCAACTTGTACTCAATTTACATTTATCCTTTATTGGTCGCTGCGGATCAACAGACTAATTAGTGTCCCCGTGCACATTTTTTTAAACAAACAAATCTGTCATTTCATTTGTCACCTTTTTTTTTATCCAATCATTATTTGTTCCAGGGTCCAATATCACATGATTTCATAAAAAAATTCAGTTATTAAAGCTTATTGGTCGATAAGTAAAGATAAGGTTATACGTAATATATCTTACAAAAAAATTTTTTATTTTATAAAAAGGCCTATTATGTACAAAACTTTCAAGCCGTGTTTTTTTTTCGAATCATTATTGTATTTCATTATATAATTTGTTTCGCCTCCCTTGTAATTTTATCAACATTTTCTTCTTCCTTTACCAAATTTAAACGCTTTTTTTTTCTTTTTTTTTAGAATTTTATATTTTTGACACTGAAACTTTTTTACCTCGCTGCGCTTGGTGAAACCGTTTTATTACAAAGTAAAAAATTTTGTGTCATATATAAACCGAAAATTTTTCTTATCAACCTTTTTTTCAAGAACTTCACCGACAATTATTTCACTAGTAATCTTTACTTTTTTTTTTACCAGGATTTGTTTGTCAAGTTAAGTTTGGGTTTCGACTTTTGTCAGAAGAATTTGAGGTTTCGACTTTCGACAGAGGTTTTGTCATTAGGGCTCAAGTTTCGACTTTCGTCATCAAGCAAAAATGGTTTCGTCTGACAGCTATAGTCCTACACCTTCAGCTTCTAAAACAACTTACACTTGCCACGTTTGTAGTAAGAGGTATAAGCATAGAAACTGTTTGGTTAAAGTATGTTCTAATTCGAGCTATACAATTTCGAACTATACTATTTGCCAAACTTTTTATTACTACTATTACCTCGTTTAAAAAAATGCTAACTTTTGACCTTTTCTTTACTTTATAGCACTTGTGGGAACACCACGAAAGCTGGGAACTGTGTCTCAAATTCAACCTAACCAAACACCAGCAAGTTCAGATGATGGAGGTTAGTCTACTCTTTCGACCTTTATGTTTTTTAAAGCTACAATAGTAGCGATTTTTTTAAGTTCATATGATTAGTATAATGATATTAACAACAATATCTTTTTTTTAAAAACTTTAGGCTGCGCAAATCCTCGTTGATCTTGCTTGTATAAAACAACATTAATCATCCCCTATTCCCTTGTATATTACACTCTCTTATATTTTAATGCACCAAAGCGATTACTATAGCAAGGCGCGAGTTAATTATTATAATTATTATTTCGAACAATTCATATTGCATTATACAACTAATACGCCTATGCTTATTCATTTCGTTTTTTGGTTGTTTTATATTACATTGCTACAATATTTCTCTTGTTTATTATTCCCCCCTTTTTTTTAGTTTTTTAGTTTTTTTTTTTGCTTTTTTTTTTTTTCCAACGACCAAGTTAAAATTCCCAATAAATAATTCACATTTTTAGACTGGTAGAATAGTTTGCTACCCATTTGTATATACAGATATAATATTCGACCCTTTTGTTTTATTATGATTATAGGATTCATTTAGATTCCTCATATTATGTTATGGCTTGGTCACATCTTTCATTTTTATATACACCACTTTCCCTTTATACATATATACATATATATATCTCGAATTTACTTCGAAGATCTAATAATTTTTTTTAGTCCAGTCTAGTAGAATCTCTAGTAGAATCTAGTCTGGTCTTACAATCTTTTCTTTTTCTTCCATGTGGGCTTTGGATTGAAACTGAATGTGTAATTAATGTTAACAATGTAAAAATAATAAATAGCCCTCCTGTTTTCAAATAAATTTTTTATGGGAAATTTTTTTCGAATTTGAGAAAATTTTTGTCATGTGAGTATCAACAGTAGCCATATATGGATGAAAGTTTGATTGGGGAATATTAAATTGCCGAATATATTATTATAAAAGATTTTTTTATGAATAAATACGTATAATTCAATAAAATTATAAATTCATTGTGTAAATTTTTAGTCTAACCATATAAATTAATTTTTAGTCAAAAAAAATTTATTTTTTCTTTTTTCGAAATAAAAACATACATATTTTCTTTCTATTGTTCATCTAAATAAATAAATATTAAATTAAAGATAAAGCTCACGACAAAATAAGAGAATAAGGAATTGTAAAAGAGGAATTCTATTAAAGAAAAAAAAAAGGAGAATGTTTAAGATAATTGGTCTGGTTGGTCTAGTCATTGACGAGATCATGAGTAGAGAACTGGTGAATAGGTGTTACAAAGTTGATGAGAACATTTCCCAATTCCGATTGTAATACCATTTAAAAAAAAAAAAGAAACTATAACGACAATGACCGATAACGAAATTAAGATTATTTATTGCGTCTTAAACGTTAATTACTATCGCCATATCACGATTTCACGATTAAGAAAATCGGGTAAGCTAAATTTTTGATCCGGTCGGTCAATTAAAACTTGCTGATAGATAATCTTTCGCAAAATATATACCAGGAATTACGATATACAAAATAGCGATAGTAAAATTTTAATCATTAATCACAATGCTTAGTTACGTCATTCACAAGAAAAAAATAAAATAAATCATCTTGCTTATAACACTGTTTTGATTCTTACACTTTTTACTTTCGATTCAAAATAAATAAAATATCTGATATAACGATAATAATTTTTTTTATCATTTAATTATATATATATATACATATTTATTTTTTAATCATACGACACAAAATAATTTAAAAATGGTCAGACAACGAACTACTAATAATGGAACAACTGCAGCGATCACAAAAAGAACTACTGCTCAAGCTGGTTTGTATACTGCAATTTATTATTTATTCTTATTTTATTAAGCTTATACTTACTGAATTTAGGTCCAAGCGTGACAAAGGCACGTGGACGAAAGTCAAATGCTGGCGCAGTACTGACCACAAAATCTAGCACCAACGGAAAATCTCGTTCAAGAAAGACTAGTAAAAATGATTCATATAGAAAGCATGAAAAACATGTTTCTGATGATGAACTTTATCAGAGTGATGATAATCGAGATGATATCGATGTTGAAGATAATGTCACTAATTCGAATGACGGGTTTGGTTATTTTTTTTTACTTATAAAATTTGAGTATACACTGAAAGGTTTAAAATTCAATCTAGTACTAGAGTTTTGTAATTTGTTTTGATTTGATTTGATTGCAAAAGAATTTTATAAATCTTCAGGGGTATACTTTATTATTAAATTCTTTCAATGTTAACGGTTAATCTATCAATTATTTTAATTAAGGAGTCAAGACATGGAGGATCTGATCGGGCTTCTTCAAAGTATGCTTATTTTATTTTATTTTTATTTTTATTTTTATTTTTATTTTATTTTATTTTTATTTTTATTTTTATTATTTTTTATTATTTTATTTTATTTTTATTTTTATTTTTATTTTTATTATTTTTTATTATTTTATTTTATTTTTATTTTTATTTTTATTATTTTTTATTATTTTTTTTATTATTTTTTTATTATTTTTTTTTCTCAAAGATTAATTTAAAATTCCAAAATCACATGACGAATAACCTTTTATAGCTAGAACTAGTAAAAAGTCTAATTCACGTTTTAGTAAATTCGAAAGAGAACAAGAAGCAAGATTGCAGGAAGCAATGGAATTAATAAATGGTGAAAATGGTATCATTAATGGTTGGATTTCCGAAATGTAAGTTCCTTACTGCAGTACTGTCATAGGATCATACATTATTAAAATAGACGATCTTTTTTTTATAGGAAAGGTATCGCTTTCTCTGTAATGAAAAAGATGGATGAAAAATTGAACTATGAAGATGCTTGCATTAAAAATTTAAAACTTGGATTTGAAAAATATCAGGTATATAAAATTGGTATTGATTGAAAATGACTAATATATGACTAATAAAAATATGTTTATTTTTTATTTAAAAAAAAAAGTCTGTTACAACCGAAACGTTAGATCACCTAGCAAAGATCCACACACAATCACAAAGATTTCGTCGCGAATTAGATAACGATTTAAAACGAATTTGTAATAATAATCATCTTCTACTTTTTCTATCTATTATTTATTGTGAAATAAATAAATCTTATCTCTCATTTTAGATACTACCGATGAAACAGAAATAAACGAATCATTGGAACATTTTATAAAGGGTCAAAGGCAAACTCAAAAGTTTTTAGCTAAATCAAACAAGGTATATAAAAAAATAAATTGCATTTTTGAATGTTTTCGAAATCACATGGAATTACTATATTTGGCTTTTCAAAAAGGAAATCCATGACATGTCTGCTCTCAAAAGAATGTTATCAGAAGTTTAATGAAAAGCGATAGAAGAAACTTTAAATTGAGTAATAATTTATTGTACGAATTACAATTGTTATATAGCCTCATTAATATCATTAATATCATTAATATCATTAATCTCATTAATTGCATGATATGTAAATCCTATTAATGATTCACAATTAAATTATTTTTTAAAATACATCTCTTTATCAAATTTATGTTCTATTCCTAAAAATTTTAAAACATTTCCACTTAATAATTTTTCCTTATCTTCGTCACCTAACCAATCACATCCTTCAATCAATTTTCCGGGATGATGTTCTCCAAGTGGAAAAGGATAGTCGCTACCTAACATTATTTTATCTATACCTATCTTCTTAATTAGAAATTGAAGTGTATCCTCATCATGTACGAGCGAATCAACATAAATACGATTAATATATTCCCTTTAGGTGAAAGGCAAACAATAGTAAGTTTACTGTCTGTCAAGATGTGAATTTACAAGAAATTGGTGTACATACAGAGGTTTCTTTTTTATCTTTATAGCACATAAATCAGGTCGAACATTAAAACCATGCACAATACGTCCTATCGTAGCTGGAAAAGAACCACCGCCATGAGCGAAAGATACTTTAAGATTAGGATAGCGTTCAAGGACGCCCCCAAATATCAATGAACAAATTGCAATTGTTGTTTCACAGGGCTATTTAAAAAATATATACATTATTTAGATTATAGATGTGTTTAAATGTGTTTAGATGTGTTTGCAAGATTATTAAATAAAATTTACCATCCCGATAAGCCTTTTTGAATATAAATTAATTAGAATATAATTAGAATATTATTAAAACAAATATTGGATAGATTTTATATTTACCATGGAAACCAATATTTTTCCATTCGACCCTTATTTTCCATGTCCTAAAAATTCGTGCCTCAAATAAATGATGAATTTTTAATGGAAAATTAAGATTTACTAAGCACCGTTAAAATATCTCACCCACGGATGAACAAACACCGGAACTTTAAGTTCATCACACGCCTGTTCGTGAGAATTATATTTAATCAAAAAAAAAAAAAAAAAAAAAAAAAAAAGAAAAGTGGATTAACAGTCATGGTATAAAAGGAACCAACCTCCCAAATAGGATCCAATTCAGGTGCATCCAGATTCCATTCATTAACATGACTTCCAATTTGGATGCCAGCAAGGCCAAGTTCATTAATACATCTTTTAAGTTCCTGTACAGCCAATTCAGGCGATTGCATTGGAAGTGTACCAAGTCCAATAAAACGCTTTGGATCTTCGGCGCATACTTGTGCAATGTGATCATTTAGATAACGTGCCAAATCAAGGGTATGTTGAGGTTTTGCAGAATATGAAAACATCACAGGAACTGTAGAAAGAACCTTGAATAGATAAATAATATGTGAATAAGACTGCAAAATGCAAATTACAAAATATGTAAAAATTTTATTAATTAAAAAAGAATATACCTGCACATCAACACCAGTACTATTACATTCTCGTACTCTCTCATCTGCAGACCAACAATTACATTGAATTTCTCGAAAATTTTTCCCATCAATAATCATTCTCGCTTTACCCTAAAAAAATGTTCTATAAATATTACGTAAAATATTGATTGCTTAACACTAGTAAAATTTTCAAAAGATTACCGGTTCATGATGATCCAGCTGTACCCATCCGCCATATCCATACTTTTTTTTAAGATCAGGCCAATGTTTTGGAAGTATATGTCTTTTTTTCAAATGTTAAACCGAAAAAAATGTTGGCTTAAAAAAGGATAACTATCTTAAAAAGGTAAATAAAGACAGTTTACTTACGTGTGCATATCAATTTTAAGAAATTTCTTTGAAGTTATCATGTCATCTTGACGAGGTGAACTTTGGACCACTGTCTCGAGATTTGTACCGACAGTATAAGAATTCATTGTTTTTACTAGAAAAGAATATGAAACTTATCGTTGTATATATACATTTATATATTTTTTTTTTATTTATTACAATATACAGTATATTTATTTATATATCGAATATACAGATATATACAGTAATTTTTTATAAAATTTGATGTAATTTCGCATGTCATTGTATCGTTGGGGTGTTCGATGCACTATGTAAATCAAATTTATGTATAGTCCCATAGTAAAATTTACTAGTGAATTTTTTGTGTAACAAAGACGACGATTTATATAAAAAAACTCAAATTTTGACAAATTTTTATCAAATTTATTACAAATTTATTATTTTTTTAAAAAAAGCGCTCCTTTCCCCTAAAATATAGGGTATGCTGAGCAATTGAGTAAAATTTTTAACGAAGTTAATATGTAAATTATTGAGGAGATACAATTTGAAATTTGACAATTTTTTATAGTCGTTTCATATAAGAATTTTAAACTTCAAATTGTATCTC